TACCTGGGGATGGAGATCACTCGTGACCGCCAGGCTTGCACGATCACGCTCTCCCAGGAGTCCTACATCGACAACCTTCTCAAGCGGTTTGACATGGACTCTAGTAACTCTGTCTCGACTCCTCTCCCACTACAGCATCAGCTCACGGCCCCTCCTTTTCCTTCTCCTGACACCTGCAAGGACCTGTTCCCTGAGCTAGTCGGTTCACTCATGTATGCCATGATGTGCACTCGACCAGACTTGGCTTACCCGGTTAGTGTCCCTTCTCGGTACGTCTCCCCTGGACGCTACACTGCCTCGCATTGGTCTGCAGCCAAGAGGGTCCTCCGCTATCTACAAGCCACCAAGTCTCACATCCTCACTCTCGGTGGTACCTCTCCAGTCAAGCTCGAGGGATACACAGGCTCCTCATTGGCCGATGACCAAACTGATAGGCGCTCCTCCCAAGGTACTGCTTCGCCTTTGTTAGCGGAGTCATCAGCTGGCGCTCCACTCGGTCCTCTGCAGTCTCCCTGTCGTTCTGCGAGGCCGAGCTCTACGCGGGCACAATGGCTGCTCAAGAGGCACGCTGGCTCTCCTTTCTCCTCGCTGAGTTCGGCTACCCCCAGCAGTCCCCCACCCTATGGTGTGACAACCAGAGCGCCATTCACCTCACCAAGGATCCTGTGTTCCACTCTCGCACCAAGCACATTGAACTTCGTCATTTCTTTATTCGAGATCTTGTTCAGAGTAACCAGCTGACGGTACGGTACATCGCCTCAGATTGCAACCTCGCCGACCTCTTTACCAAGGCTCTTGGCAAGGCTGACCACCATCGCCTTCTTCGCTCCATGGGGCTATGTGCTCCTTGATTGGGTTTTGCAGTCTATGGGGGTGTGAGAGAAATAGATTGCAAATCCTACTTTTGTATTTGTACTTTTATATCCGAATTCTAGTGGGTTAGGGTGTACTCACCAAATCCCAACCTCACCCAATTGTGATCCCCCCAATCTCCAATTACCCAATCGGAGATTCCGGAGATCCCAATGGGGATTCCCTCCGATTCCCCCTTTTATCCATTCTCTGTTACCTTGCCATGTACTTATAGAGCCTTGGGCTCCTTACCTAATCAATCATCAAGGATATAATTTAACATGTTCTTAGAGAGGACAAACTCCAACCCTATCTCTCCCTTATTCTTGAATAAATTTGACAAGTGGTGCAGGAGACTAAGTATAGAATCTGCAGACAAAAGTACTTGAAGTAGAAAGTGATACTGGAAGTATCTCCAATAACAGCCAGTATTAACAAGAGGTAACACCAGAATCAATGTTACAGCCTTGTGATGCTCCTAGACTGGAAAATGGATCTTTGCTGGAATGGTAGACTAGTAAGACAGCGTAAGTCTTAGAACTTGTAAGTGTTGACGAGAATTTACTGAAGAACAAGTTAAGAATTGAAGTTATACAAGCTACTTTAATATCTGCTAGAAGTACCTATTCGGTAATGTACTTGTTCAAAACAATTTGCGGTATGCGCTCTAACCGCTACTGAAAAGAGCGCGACTGTTTGCCTGGCTGAAATGGCCATCCAGACGAGCGCTATTTGCTGACGTCATTTTACGGATGCTAACTAGTGTAACTCGACAACATCTATCGGAACTACTTACAGAAATGCTTAAGTACGATTTTACCACAACACTCCGCTTTATTTCTGGAAGTCCGATAGGGTCACTTCTTGACAATTCCGCAGAGTTCGTTGCAGTACTGGAACTTTTGACATGTGAGCTTCTTGGTGAGAAAATCTGGAGCCAGTTCATTGGTTGAACAGTAGACCAATCGCATTCTCCCTTTCTTAACTTCATCTTTGACGAAGAAGTATCGTAGCGAAATGTGTTTCGTCCTGTTGGCGAAACCAGGTTGATGCGCAATTCTGATTGCACTTTGGTTGTCGCACTGCAAGGTGAACTGTGTACATGTCGTCAATTTTGCTTCCTCCAGTAGCTCTTGTAGATAGAGACCTTCGCGAGTAGCTGTGCAGGCAGATATGAAGTCGGCTTCAGCAGATGAAAGAGCTACAAGCTCTTGCTTTGTAGAATTCCATGAGATAGTCCCAATAGGTTCGAGACGATAGACGAAGCGGGTGCGAGATCGACGATTAGAAGTATCTGCTGCATGATCAGCATCGACTTACCCGTTAAGATATAGAGTATTCGTTGTAGTGACTTGATAGGGAAGTCCGACTTCAGGTGTCAAAACGAAATACTGTAGAGCGCGAAGAAGATCTAGCCGATTCTCCCTCCCGGGTCGACACAGAAATTGCGCCAGCTGGCTAGCGGCATACGCGAGATCCGGACGACATGTTACAGCTGCGAATAGAAGACAACCCAGTTGCTGCTGATAAAGCTGTAGTTGAGTGTTATCGAGTGGAGTAGTATCGGGCTGGTAGTCCATCGGTAGAGATCGGTAAGGAGTGGTTATAGTTGAAGGTGTGAGTTTAAAGCGTGCGGCTAGTGTAGCTGCGTACTTGGAAGCTGTGAGATGAATATCAGTTGCTGTTCGATGGATGTTAAGGCCGAGAAACTGTGTGAGTGTAGGGGTGATAGTGATCTGTAGATGTTGTTGAAGTTTCTGTTCGAAGATAGTAGCAACAGAATCGGTGGTGCTGATGTAGAGCAAATCTTCGACATAGGCAACGAGTAGGATGTAGTCAGGACCGTCCGTAAATCGATACATTCCTTGGTCATGCGGTAACTGGCGAAATCCGGCAGATAATAACTGACGATGTAGATACTGCTGCCATGGTCGTGGAGCCTGTTTAATGCCATAGAGAGATTTTCTGAAATGGCATACGCTTGGAGGGTTAGTTTCATAAGAATGCTGGTACTCAACAAGAATTAGTGCGTCTACAGGTGCATAGAGAAAGCATTGGCGACGTCGATTTGGCGAAGTCTGAAGTTCCGGTAGGCCGCGATACAACGGAGGATGCAGACACTAGTATGTCTGCCAATGGGAGTGAAGGTTAATTTGTAGTTGAGACCAAACTTTTGCTCAAAACCGCGGATGGCCCATCACGCCTTGAATTTTTCAAAGGAACCATGGCGTTTGTCTTCACACGGACAACCCATTTTCCGGTAAGAGCCTTACTCCTCTTTGTCTCTTTCAGCAGGATTAGATCCCAGGTACCTCACTTTTCCAGAGTTGCTAACTCTCGGTCCATGGCTTCACGCCATTTTTCTTTTATTCACTTGTCAAGGCTTGGCGAACTGTTTTCGGCTCCTGAATCTTACTGCGGTTTGACTACACTGCGACTGCAAGTCCCAAAACTTGTAAACTGATTTTTGTAAAACGCAGACGACATGAGTTGACACCGGAGAAGTTGTGTTCTGATCCCTGTTCCCCCCCAACTTCTTCAGGTGTTACACGGATTGCTGCTTCGGAGACAACTAGAATTGGTTGCTGCTAACGATCACGTTCGTAATCAAGAACGACATCGCGAACATCTTCAGAGTCTGCTTCGCTGAGTGGGATAAACTCGGCAGTTCCTGCTGACGTGGTTGGCACGGGGATGTCTGTGGCAGCTTTGAAAGACTCAGCCACGGATTCTGTTGGTGCATATTCGTTTGCACGTCATCCTGTCGTCTGTTCGCATCATTTCGTTGCATGTGTTTTGTGTGCTACATTGTTTGTATGGTTTGTTGGGTTTGCATGTCTTTGCATGTTCATCTTGTGCTTGTGCAGATGTGCTTGGATTGTGCATGACATCGAGCACATTCCAACGAGCCAAGAATTGTTGGAATCGGAGCACATATGAAGAAGTTACGAAGAAATGTTTGATGGATTTGTTACAACTCATTGGCAGTCCTTGTCAGCTGCTACACCAAAGTTGGAGAGTCCTATAACGAGGAGGGACCAGCATGTGTGGGACTTTTGTCCCCACCTTGCAGCTGCAGCATTTGGGGTTTGGAGGCCAACCTGGCACAGTGTGAATTTTGTCTTGCCAGGCTGGCTGAACCTGAGGATGGGGAGTCAAAACTTTGACTCTTGTCATGTCCTTGACCATGGGCCTCTAGGGTCCTTCCCTTTCATCCTTCACTTCCTAACCCACCTTCCAACTGTGCTTCAATGCCTTTTCCATCATGTTTCTGAACTTGTAAGCTTCGATTATAGTGACTCTGAGGACTGTCAATTTCTCCTAGGGCAGATTACCCCCCAGTGCGCCAAACGCCATAGCTCACTCGATAAGCTACGGAATTGAGTAATTCAACTTTCAGTGGAAAGCTGACGCTGCAAGCTACATTATCGATTTTCAGATCGTTTCACCGATTGGAGTTTTGGATATAGCTTTTCGAAGGTCGCGAGTTTTCTGGGCGTCATAACGAAGTGCTGCAGAAATTTCCAAGGAGCCATTGAATCATCTGCTTATAGCCTTCTCTAACCAACAAGTGGTATCAGAGCCCTATCACGCGTTTGGGACCTAAAATACTGTTGGTGCATATTCGTTTGCACGTCATCCCGTCGTCTGTTCGCATCATTTCGTTGCATGTGTTTTGTGTGCTACATTGTTTGTATGGTTTGTTGGGTTTGCATGTCTTTGCATGTTCATCTTGTGCTTGTGCAGATGTGCTTGGTTTGTGCATGACATCGAGCACATTCCAACGAGCCAAGAATTGTTGGAATCGGAGCACATATGAAGAAGTTACGAAGAAATGTTTGATGGATTTGTTACAACTCATTGGAAGTCCTTGTCAGCTGCTACACCAAAGTTGGAGAGCCCTATAACGAGGAGGGACCAGCATGTGTGGGACTTTTGTCCCCACCCTGCAGCTGCAGCATTTGGGGTTTGGAGGCCAACCTGGTACAGTGTGAATTTTGTCTTGCCAGGCTGGCTGAACCTGAGGATGGGGAGTCAAGACTTTGACTCTTGTCATGTTCTTGACCATGGGCCTCCAGGGTCCTTCCCTTTCATCCTTCCGTTCTATCCCTACCTTCCAACTGTGCTTCAATGTCTTTTCCATCATGCCTCTGAACTTGTAAGCTTCAATCATAGTGACTCTGAGGATTGTCTACTTCTCCTAGGGCAGATTACCCCCCAGTGCGCCAAACGTCATAGCTCGCTCGTTAAGCTACGGAATCGAGTGATTCAACTTTCATAGGAAAGCTGACGCTGCAAGCTACAACATATCTGATTTTCAGATCGTTTCACCGATTGGAGTTTTGGATATAGCTTTTCGAAGATCGCGAGTTTTCTGGGCGTCATAACGAAGTGCTGCAGAAATTTCCAAGGAGCCATTGAATCATCTGCTTATAGCCTTCTCTAACCAACAAATACAATGGGAGATAAGGAGGATTTTGGTGGAGGTGATACTTCAGTCCAAGGAGGCAGCTCAACCCAAGATTCTGGCATTGTAGCGTAAAGGGGAGCGCGTAAGGAGGTGCTGAAGAACTTCACCATTGAGAAGTTCTCTGGAGATGGCTATGATGATTGGGCATGGAAGATGCAGCTCTACTTTCGACAAATTTCCCTCTTGAAGCTCATGATTGGAACGGAGCCAAGGCCAAGGGAAATGGCAGAGCAAGCGGACTGGGATGAACGTTCATCTGCTGGGTATTATCTACTGTCACAAAGCTTGGACTTGAACCAGAGGCATCACATCATGCATCTGCTACCAGAAACTGATTGTGGGCCCAAGGCATGGGCAGTGCTCAAGGACCTGCACGCTCCGATATTGGTTTCCGCTTCTCTCATGCTGGATCGGGAGCTGTCCATGCTGCGGTTGAGCGAGAATGAACCTGTGCAGTCCATACTGGACAAGATAAGGGAACTCTACGCGAAATTGGCGATTGCAGGCATCACGTACCCTGAGCAGACTAAGTGTCTCATGATGCTCAGCCTGCTGTCCGAGTCTTGGCTGCAATTTATAAGCGGACTCAGCTTGCCACAAAACCAAAGTCAATGGACATTGGAGTGGATTCGCACCAAGATTCTGGAAGAAGATTTTCGTCGCTATACACTGCGCGGAGGTGATGACAGCACCAGCGGCTATGCCATGCAAGGGACATGGAGGGATCGAGGGCGTGGCAATCGCGGTCGCTCTTACTACAGCCAAGGTGGTCGCGGGACTTGGAACCAGCGGGGGCGTGGTGGCGCTGGTGCAAGAAGAAGAGGTGGTCACTCCAATAATGACAGCAGTGAACCACACTTGAGGGGAGAGTGCTGGTATTGCAAGGAAGAAGGGCATCGATGGTTTTGCTGCTCTACCAAGCCCGACTGGTGGACCCCTTGGAACCAATCGCAAAAGGGGAATGGAGGAAAGCAACCACATGGAGGTGCCAACATGGTAGCGGATCTTGCTGAAGAAACCTCCAAGGATGACAGAGGAATGGGAAATGAGGAGAGGAATGCTGGACAGTTCTACCATGTGTGTGACAAAGATGACAGTGGCACAGCTGTTGCAAGGGCTGGAGAGGAATTGCACCCGCTTGACATGTGGGTCATGGACTCTGGTGCTGCATGGACAATGACACCACGCAAGGACTTGCTGGATGCTGTGCGAGCGCCTCCAATCTCTGAAGTGCGCTCAGCATCCGGACATGCAGTGAAGGTCGCTAGAGTTGGTCGAGCTGCATTCAGAGCACCTGATGGTGGACTGGTTGTGCTGAAGGACGTGTTACTCGTACCAGGGCGGAAGGTCAATCTGATATCGCTGCGCAAGCTAGGCCAGGCCAGAGTCAGCACTACCATCAATGGATCCAAAACATTCAAGGGGCTGCGAGGAGATCGTGTGTTATGGGATTTACACGAAAGCAGAGATGTCTTCAGATCCATGTGGCACATCCCTGCGCTGATATGGGAATCAACAAAGAAGGAGTTGGGAGCAGTAAAGGCGGGATCTGGAGTCCAGGGGGAGTGCAATGCAGTTAGTGCTGCAGGAAAGACGGTTTCTGCAAGGTCGGGGGAGATTGGTAGGGAAACCGAGCGCTGCTGATCGAATCAGGGCTGGGGAACTCCATGTGGCCTCATGCGGTGAGGCATGCTACAGTGGCTAGGAACTGCCTACTCACAAAGGTGGCTGATCATATGTGGGTGCCGTTGGAGAGGTGGCTTGGTAAGAAGCCTCCAGTGGACATGCTTAGTGTGAGAGTACGACCCCGTTATACTAATTTCCCCTTTTCATATTTCCTTTCTATTCCATTCCTCGTTTTATCCTGATTTATTTGGTCTTTATCTCATCTTATTTGGTTTCCTATTCCTTATTTTCCATTATCCTTCGGTTTATCCTATTATCATAATTATATCACCGACCAAGCTCGGGATGTACTGGCGCGCATCTAGCGTACTCCTCTCGTAATCCCTTATAGCCAACAGCCTCGCGTGGCTATACGCAAGGTCATTCTATTCTAGAAGGGTGTATTCCCTTCGGATAGGATAAACTTGGTTACCTAATGTAATCTAGAAGTATGAAAGTCCCTGGTACTCATGGATAGTGGAACATGGAGCTAAACCTCATTCGATCATGTCACACTTGGTAATCAGTGCCAAGGTTTCAGCTCAACGCTTAAAGCCGTTGACCCAAAACGTACAAGATTAATAAAGATGAATCAGGCAAAAAGTTGAGCTCGAGAAAGAGTAGGGGTGTGGAGTAGTGGTGTGAGTGTGGCGAGAGTGGGCGAACACAGCACATTACGAAAACCAATCAGAACGAGCAAACAAAACTAGAACAGGTTCCAGACATTCGCAAACGACGGTTGGGGGAAATCGAGGTTTGGGAAAGGGAAAGCGGGGGCGCGCGCAAGGCGCAGGGGGGAGTCGGGGAAGAATACCAGAGCGGCAGAGCGGCTCACAGCACGGACTGTAAGTGGTTGCTTGCTAAGGGATTTATTTGTCAGGGGCGTGATTTATTGTTCCGTTCCAATCCATGTTTCCTGGTTTTGTCGGTTTGAACATGCGCCACGAAATTATCTGTGTCGTTTTTCCGTAGTATGTTACTACAGTAACGCAACTACATAATTCGTGTTGAACACGCCCCGCAGGGCTCGACAGTGGGCTAGGTTTGCTCTCCCAAAAGTCCCAAATTGTACGCGCTTTCAAGTTTCATGCTACTCAATCGCCAGCTGTATCGGGGGGTTGTGCGGGATATGTTGGGGGTGTGGCGCGCGCTGCTTCTGAATCCTGATGTTTTGGGCTGCGAATTCTATTGCAACTCTAGCTTTTGGGTACTGGGTTACCACTCCGGGGTGTTCAAGGTTAATAATCTTGAAACACAATTTCTGCTAATTGGGTCAACGGCTTTAACCGCTGGGCCCCCAGTAGCACGCCGAGGATGGAGTCGAAACTTCTTTTCCTGTAAGTACAAGTTTCGACAATCCTCGCGCAGGTGCACCTGGGGTCCTCGAGGGCGAGACGCCTCGCTGACTGTTCGATGGACTGCATCGACGGTGCCAGTGTTTTCGCGGGGGCAAACGGCCTCAACCTGGCAAGCGCATCAGTTCCGGCGGAACATCCCCTGTGATATTCGGAGCTGGTCGCAGCTCGCCACGACACTTGGAGTTCCGCGGAAATGTGCGGAGCTTCGACCGACGACATCCGTCCGATGGAGATTCAACGCTTCAGATGGACCGAGGCGAAAACGAATCCTTCTGAGCGAGTTCGATTTTCAGCGCGAATGGGAACGGGAACCGCAAGCCGCGAAGTTCTTCGGACCGTCCGATCGTTCAACAGCCGATATCGACGACCGAGAATGGCTGCAGGAAACGATTCCACCCGGGCACCGAAAGCTGCTCAACATGACTCGGAAACATCTTCAGATCGCTTGGAGTTTGGACCGTCGGATTGACTTCTACTTCAACGGACGAGATGAAGCACGACTTCTGCGTGAAGGGAGAATGACGCAGAGAACCAAGTATCAGCCGCCTTCGACAACGTTTCTTCATCTGGACAGCCAAATTCGGATTCCTCCATTTGGTCACGAATTTGGGATGCAAAATTATCTGATGAGTCAGAAATCTGCCAGAGAATTACCTCGGTAATAGCTGCAAGCAGAAAAACGACAGGAGAACGTGGATCGTCGGATCGGTGCAAAATCAATGGCGTGAATGCGGCAGAGACTACACTATAGGGAAACATCACAATGGAGACAACATTCGTGACCAGCGACTGCACAATCGACGCATCTTCTAACTCGTGCTGATAACGATACGATTTATTTTGACGAAGTCATCTTCGTTAAAAATGGATCGACATCAACACCGCGAGATCTTCACCCAGGGGAAAAATGGAGCATGTTCTCCACCAATGAGAATCTTCTTCATACAAATTGATCGACAACCTATGGGTTTGCCAAGAAGTAGCTGTTTTCTCTTGAAATATTCCCAAATTCAAGTTCCTGCGAAGGAGCAGATTTCGCACGCAACGATGACGCAGTGATCCCGTCTCGTCAAGGCCAGCGAGACACTACTTCATAACAGGAGCTGATCGATACGTCTTCATCAAGAATCTCAGCCATCCGAAGTGATTGATTGGAACAGTCTCAACATTAACCTCACGAAGCGACACACCAATCATGCGTCGCGATTCCAGGTGTTAATGACCTGAAGAAAAAAACATCCGTGCATGTCACGATGCTTGACAGATTGAGGAGTAATTAACCTCTAATCCGGCAAGTACTCGCTCACTAGCGACCCTACGGCACATGCATTGGAGGCGATTCTACCAGAAGCCGAAGCGTTACAAGCACCAGCGTAACTTCAACGATGCAGGAGAACGCCAAGCAAAACGAGGTGTGAACAAATGAGGGAGATGCGGGATACTACAACACAATTACGCACTTTACCGACCGTACATCGGAAGCACGTATGAGCATACTAGGAATTGCTACCCATGGATACATTGAGGGGAGAAGCAAATTTCTCTTCACACCCTCAAATGAAACAATCACCGGCAGCAATGGAGCAACACATGTGTACTAATGTGCACGTGTTCCTGGTAGTTACAGTACGCCTGTTACACCCATCAGGAACACTCTACTGGGAAGAGGGAGTTGATGGATTCTCCTCCAACCGGTAGGAGTTTAGAGAATTCTCTGCAGCAGCTGTCGCCGTCGCCATTGTCGCTACCGCCACCGCCGCCGCAGCAGAAGACTCGACACAACAGTCATATCCAAATCCTGATGAATGATTCTCCGCTCAATGGAGATAATGCTGGATTATATTCCAGTGGATCGTAAAGTCCCGGCATGGCACAATACTATGATTTCCAGCAAGTGGGAAGGAGATACCACTATGCACTGGAATAGCTACAGTATGGCAATGCCATTTACCCTCAAGAGCAGGAGATATTTTGCTCTTATGAGAATGAGAGGACTACGGTACTCTTCCGGTATACAAGTCCTCATGGCCTATGGCTTTCCTTAAAGTCATAATACATGCATCGCAACCAATCCATCACCAGCACCAACTCCACGAAAACAGATAGGCGTGGAAAGGAGCGCCGACGCCACTCCGGATAGTGTACTCCGCGTATCTCCAACAACACTCCTGTTTGCCGAAATGGAGCAGACTTCAACACCGATGCTGAGTAGCTGAGACGTCTTCTGTTGGTGCATATTCGTTTGCACGTCATCCTGTCGTCTGTTCGCATCATTTTGTTGCAAGTGTTTTGTGTGCTACGTTGTTTGTGTGGTTTGTTGGGTTTGCATGTCTTTGCATATTCATCTTGTGCTTGTGCAGATGTGCTTGGATTGTACATCAGATCGAGCGCATTCCAACGAGCCAAGAATTGTTGGAATCGGAGCACATATGAAGAAGTTACGAAGAAATGTTTGATGGATTTGTTACAACTCATTAGAAGTCCTTGGCAGCTGCTACACCAAAGTTGGAGAGCCCTAAAACGAGGAGGGACCAGCATGTGTGGGACTTTTGTCCCCACCTTGCAGCTGCAGCACTTGGGGTTTGGAGACCAACCTGGCACAGTGTGAATTTTGTCTTGCCAGGCTGGCTAAACCTGAGGATGGGGAGTCAAAACTTTGACTCTTGTCATGTTCTTGACCAAGGGCCTCCAGGGTCCTTCCCTTTCATCCTTCCCTTCCCACCCCACCTTCCAACTATGCTTCAATGCCTTTTCCATCATGTCTCTGAACTTGTAAGCTTCTATCATAGTGACTCTGAGGACTGTCAATTTCTCCTATGGCAGATTACCCCCCAGTGCGCCAAACGCCATAGCTCACTCGATAAGCTATAGAATCGAGTGATTCAACTTTCAGTGGAAAGCTGACGCTGCAAGCTACAACATATCCGATTTTCAGATCGTTTCATCGATTGGAGTTTTAGATATAGCTTTTCGAAGGTCGCGAGTTTTCTGGGCGTCATAACGAAGTGCTGCAGAAATTTCCAAGGAGCCATTGAATCATCTGCTTATAGCCTTCTCTAACCAACATCTTCGACATCAACGCTACTTCAAGGACAGTGACAGAATGAGACAACACATGGTGCCACCAGAAGGCCTATCCCAATATGTGCGCCGAGACACCGATGCCTACCGATGGCCTCCATGCTAAACTGGAAGTGCATAAGGTCATACTGGATTGGCTGTCACTAATCCCCATTTGGAAGTGGGAGAGGATTACTTCGGAATACCCCTAACGTTCCTAGATATCCTAACCCATTACCATGGGATATCTACGCAGCTGAGATTCCTTGCGTGAGCAACCACCGAGGGAAACTACCTTGGCGCCGATTCTGGAAGTTACCAGCTCCACGTTGTGGTACCAACCTCTCGCATGGTTTTGAAGACAAGGGATACACTGAGCAGCATTTCACATGAGCAGTGGTACTCAAGGCAGTGTGACTAGCAGACCGCGTGGTGGACAGGGTTACTTCTAGTGATTCTGCTCTCCATTCTCTCAGCACTACAATGCCGAGTGGGTAGGACTCGCCACAACACTCTGGCATGGACCAGCTCGACAGAAGCTGTACTATGACATGATTGCCATACCACCAACACTTGTGATCTTCACACGTCGACCAGATGCGGGTAACAGCATGCACGGATCGGACAACATAGCCATTCATCTGCACGTTACAGCACACTGTTCCATCCGCGTACCACCTATAACTGCAACCCGCTCATACCACAACAACCGACAAATCCATTTCATCATCATTGTCCATCAGCCCTAACACCGGACACGCCACTTGGACATCCAACAGCAGCAGAAGCACCTGGCTACTCATCACCACAGTTATCCACACCGTAATTTCGACATCAGCCATCTTCCATCCAAGCTTCAACCTTGCTTC